CATACCGGCCAGATGCTGCACGTCCTTAGCCGAGCTGGGCTGCTTCAACGCTTGCACGGCTCCGATCTGAGTAGGGTCTGCTTCGATGCCTCGGTTCGTGACTAGGAATCCCAAAAATTTTCCGGATCCCACGCCAAAGGCACACTTTGAGGCGTTCAAGCGCAGCTTGTGCTTCTTTAGAATGGCAAACATCTCGGCTAAGTCGGACAAATGGTTTGCCTCATGTCGGCTTTTTACCACCATATCATCAATATAAGCTTCCATTGTCCGACCAAGCAAAGGAGCAAACATTTTGGTCACCATCCTCTGAAAGGTTGCCCCGGCGTTTTTCAAACCAAATGGCATGACTCGGTAGCAGAAGAGTCCCCTTAGAGTCGTGAAAGAGGTGATCTCTCGGTCAGGCCCATGCATGGCGATCTGGTGATAGCCATGGTACGCATCCAAGAAACTGAGCCTATTGTGTCCAGCCGTCAAGTCCACTAGCTGGTCAATGCGCGGCAAAGGGAAGCTGTCTTTGGGACAAGCTCGGTTGACTGTCTTGTAGTCGACACAAACTCGCCACTTCCTATTCTTCTTAGGCACCACTACTGTGTTGGAAATCCACCGAGGATAGTGCACTTCCTGAATTGCTCGTGCCTCAAGTAGGTTCTTTACCTCCTCAGCAACTACCTCGGCGTGATGCAACGCCGATCTCCTTGTTCGCTGGATGACTGGCTTTGCTCCAGGGAAGACATTGAGGTGATGGCAGATAAGACTTGGGTCGAGGCCGGGCATGTCGTAAGGCGACCATGCAAAGACTTCGATATTCGCCATCAAAAACTCAATCATCTCGGTCCTCTCTATGGCCGTGAGACTTGAACCGAGCAGGAAGAACTCTTCCGGCTGCTCGGTATCAATCCGCACTTCAACCAATTCTTCAACAGCCTTATCCTCGGCCTTGGTGCCCACATCATCCAAGACACCCTGGTCCTCCGGTCCCTCGATCATTTGAACGAATCCTTTGGCAGCCCGGCTTCCGTTGACCGCCACGAAGCACTGCTTGGACATGACCTGATCGCCCCAAATCTCCTCGATTGCCCCCATAGCCGAGGGGAATCTCATCACCTGGTGGGTCCTGAGAGTTGCGAAGGGCAATGGGATCACAAGATGGCGGGAGGACCTTCTCTACTTCGGGTGAACTCCGGGGTGGCTCCATCTATGGCAGACAACGGAAACTCATCGTTGTTCGCTATGGACGGCGATCAGATGAACCTGGAAGACAAGGTTTTGTCTGTCAACCTTCCCACAGACGGTGCCAATTGGATCCCGCTTTGACCGGCAGGATATTCTTTCCCAAAGGCCACTCTGGTTGTGAGTTGAATCCGACCAGTGGCGAAGTTGCCGGAGCCAAGTCTGTCTCCCGGAGTTTAAGCTGCTTGAACGCATCATAGTACATGATCTCGACCGAGCTTCCCTGATCGATCAAGATCCGCTTAACATCAAAGTCCTTGACGCGTAGTGTTACCAGTAGGGCATCGTTGTGCGGCGTCTGGATGCGCTCAAGATCCCTTGAGGTGAAACTAATCACGTCTTTTTCTTCAGTCTTTCCCCTTTTGATGGCGGGCTGTACCGACAAAACTTCCCTCATATGTTCTGCCTTTTTTATCATGCCCCGGAGTTCGCAAACTCGCTCTGGTTCCACGATGCTGTGGATGACATTGACAACTCCCTGCGGTGGTGCGTCTCGGTCATCCTGTCCCCTGGGATCGACCGCGGCCAGATTCGGCTTCACACCGCCATCAATGTAGAGGTCTAGGTGCCCGGCCGTGACGAGCTCTTCTAAGTGCTGCCTCAAAGGCAAACAATCCTCAGTCCGGTGGCCTCTCTCCCGGTGGAATGTGCAACGGTACCGCGGATTGTAGCCCTTCTGTCCATCGCCCAACTTAGCAGGAAACCGGACATACTCCTCGTCTCGGATTTCACTAAGTATGCGATAAATTGGAATCTTGAAGACTGTGGTGATGCCGGTCCTCGCCTTCATCCTTCTGTTTGCGTTTGCTATGACCGCCATCAATGTAAAGGTCTAAGTGCCCGGCCGCGACGAGCTCTTCTGAGTGCTGCCTCAAAGGCAAACAATCCTCAGTCCGGTGGCCTCTCTCCCGGTGGAATGTGCAACGGTACCGCGGATTGTAGCCCTTCTGTCCATCGCCCAACTTAGCAAGAAACCGGACATACTCTTCGTCTCGGATTTCACTAATTATGCGATAAATTGGAATCTTGAAGACCGTGGTGATGCCAGTTCTTACCTTCAACCTCCTGTTGGCATCTGCAACGTCATCCCGGGCGTAGTCATCCCGGTCGTGCCGACGTCCTCTACCCTGGTTTTTACGGTTTGTGCCACGGTCTGATTCCTCTGCTCGGTCACTTGAGCGGCTGGACTCTTGCCCAACTGCGTGCACTTTGCCTGCTGTCTTCTTGTCTGTCCCTACCGGAGTAGTCTTCACGGTAGAAGCGGACGCGTCATCCTCTACTCGGATGTGTTCATTGATGCGCTGCATGAGTTGGCCCATGGAGGTTGGCTGGTGCATGGTAAGCGAGTCCCGCAGTCTATGTCCGACCGGGAGACCTCGCTTGTACTGTGTGATTGCAAGGTTGATCGGGCAGTCCAAGATTTCGTTGAAGGTTTCCCAGTACCTTGAGTTGTATGCCTTCAGTGTGTCGCACGGTTCCATCTTGACACTTAGCAAGTGATCGACTTCCTTTGGTGTTTTTGTGTTGGTTTTGAAGCGTGTAACAGACGCCTCGGCCAACTGATGCCACCTTTGTATGCTCCCTTCAGGCAACTGCTCGAACCACTTTAAGCCCAGCTCGCCCAAACTTGACGGGAAGATTAGGCACATAAGTCCGTCATTGCGCCTATGTCCGGCCATAACCTGTCGGAAGTGGCTCACATGCATGTATGGATCGGTTTTTCCGTCATAAAATGTGAACTTAGGCTGGTGGAAGCCTGCCAGAAGTGGTGTTGTTTCAATTTCCAGGGAAAAAGGAGTGGCACTCAGCCTGGCCAAGTCCATATCTTCAAGGAGTGGCACTGCTTGGCGGGGCGGAGGTATTCCGACCTCCTCGCTGGCGTGAACCCCGTAAGATAGTCGCTGGAAAGCTGGTATTCTCTGGGCTTCACGCCGGTGGGCCCGCTCCTTTAAGACCGCCCGTAAATCCTCTGACTGAGCGGAGTAAGAGTACCTCGACGTCGTCTCCGGACGTGAGGGTTTGTAGGTGCTGTCTTGCGCGCTAGACTTCCCTGCACCCACGTCGGAATCACCAACCTGGTAACTTCTGGTAATGGATATTGACTGAGTACGTCGCTGACTCTGACCGCCTGAACGGCAGGATGGGGTGCGCTCACTGTGGTTTCCCACTCCAGCTACACATTTCCCTTTGACATGCCGCTTCAGATCCTCCATCACCGCCGCCATTCGCCGGATGACAGCGTCTTGGTCCCTCAACATGCCGCTTGAGATCTTCCATCTCCGCCGCCATTCGCCAGATGACTGCATCTTGATCCCTTAACTTGCTTTCCAGTCGCCTGGCGTGCGAGTCTCTCCTCCGCCGGTGACCGTCTGGACTCCGTGAATGTCCATGACTTCGTCCGCGCTTGTCCCGCGCGTCTCCTGACTGTCCGCCAGTGGACGTTCCCAAGTCAGCCATTGGGTGGACAGCAGGAGGTCCCTCTCTCCTTCGGGTATACTCCGGGGTGGCTCCGTCAATGGCGGACAATGGAAACTCGTCGTTGTTCGCCATGGACGGCGATCAGATGAACCTGGAAGACAAGGTTTTGTCTGTCAAGCTTCCCACAGACGGCGCCAATTGTGCGGGGAGCAAATATTTCGGCAAGCCCGTACTCCTTTCTTCCGAGCTCCGTCGATGTCCGATCACCTGCGAGCAAGCAACGGTGAGCTACCCGGCGGTGTGTGGCCGGAAAAACCCTCCGACGGTCAAGTTAGCACACACCTTAAGATGAATAGAGAGAAGGGAGAGAGTGTTTGAGTGTAAGAATTTCTTACAGAGATGTTCCTGTGTCCCGTATGGGGGGCGCAGACATGCGTATATACCCTCTGCGCCCCATATCCACTCCCAGTCATCTCCTGACACGTGGCTCCGCTATCCCATCTGTCAGCATAAACCGTGCCAATCATCACCTAATCTCAACTGCCTGTCATCGCAGTTGGAGCTCGGCAGCCGAGCTGCCCTATGCGTTGCTGCGCCGTGCCGTGCTTCATACCCAAGCACTTCCCTGGCAAACTCCAAGGGGGGACCGGGCTAGGCGGCATCTCGGCAAAGCCTAGCCCGAAGCACCCCGTGGTCAGTGATACAAGGACTAAGAGTTTGAGAAATGTCAAAGAAAGCATAAACATACAGGAAGGAACTCATCAGCCAAAAGTTGGTAAAAGCAAGGCTCCCTCTATATTAGGTATGAAAGCAATGCTAGCTAAATCACATCAAATGAATTTCACAAGTTAAGATACCCACCCCTCATCTAAAAATGAATCCTTTAGTGATCCTCCAGGATTCTTAATAATCTTAATGGCCTCCAAGTTTGTGCTGCCCTGCCATTTCCATGAAAATTATCAGCACAACAACAAAGGATAAAATAATATTTCATATGACCAGCAGTGTACAACAACAGAAGCTGTCTGAATGTACAAAGGAGATTGTAAATTACTAATCAAAGTATCATCTCGGCCCAATGCACTGCTGGGCTCTCAACCTGCTCGGTCGCTACCTCGGCCCAACTCCAGATCATAAATCACCCTCTCAAAAGGATAAAATAATATTTCATATGACCAGCAGTGTACAACAACAGAAGCTGTCAGAATGTACAAAGGAGATTGTAAATTACTAATCAAAGTGAAAAAGAAAGAAGAATAGTAGAGAAACAAACTACACATCGCTTGATACAAATGAGATCCTTTTTGAAATACATGAAGGACACACAAAACATCAAGAAAATGAGAAGAGGGACACAAATTGCTCTTTCAAAGAAATTAAGACTAAGGAGTTCAGTGCATCTGCAAATGAGGGACACAAATTCCACATAAAGCCCTAACCATATGGGCATATGCAGTAAGAAATAAAAAGATTTAAAAGCCAACCATAGGCAGAGCCAGAATCTTCTATTGGTGAAAGTTGGGAAGTGGAGACATGGGTCATACTTCGGATTTAGATCCTCTTCATGAGGCTTGTCAACAAAAATAAACAATGCAATGAATGGATTTTTTTAATTAATGATCAATTACAGGTTACAAACTAGGACAGAAACTATCCAACATTGTCATACAATGCAACTTACATCCTCCAACTAAAACAACTAAATGTGTATGAATTACTCACCTGTAGCCTCATAACAGCATCCACAGCCAGGTTTGCAAAATGCTCCTCGTCCTGGGAGAGCATTTTAGAACTCAAAGTAGTCATTGCAATCTTCATCAAGTCTTCCTTGAATTTCTCTGCATTATCCAACAATGCAAAGCAAATAAGATATCACCAAAATTACAGAAAATTAAAGTGATGTTAGATGTGCAAATGCAGGAAAAATTACCTACCAAGACCAGAAAGACAAAAAAAAAAAAAAAAAAAAAAAAAAATTGGCAAAATAAAAACAGGGCCATGATGCTAAGAAACTCATTCGATGTGCGAATGCAGGGTGAAATTACCTACCAAACCAAAACAATGGCAAAATCCATTTTACCCACCAATGGTTTGGCCCTGAAACAATTCACCCTCTGACATCCAAAATGCCCTAACATGGTTTTGGACTAAAATGCAGAAAAATAACAGAAAATGAAAGCAGGGTCTTGATGGTAAGAAACTGTCATCCCATTTAAAATAAACTTCCAACAGACAAAAACTAATCCAGTCCATGTGTTCCACCATCAATGTCTAAAATGGTTCATAATAAGAATTTATCAACTATGAAAAGCTACAAGGGATAAACCAAGAAACAATGGTATTTGATAGTCAACATCAATAAAAGATACCTGCATCCTCTTTATTATCCATCACCTTCTGCAGCAAAGCATAGCGAGCGCACTCAGCAGCCATTCGATAACCTGAAGAAATGAAACAAGTACCATGAAAAACTCACATCAAACAAATCGCACTCGGTGAAGAAAAAAAAGCATCTGACTTTATGCACAAAGCACATTCAGGCATAAGCTGTAAGAAGAGAATGTTAACATGAAACACACAAAATTTGGTAGCACAAATTTGAGATAGAAAACAATTAATTAAAACCTAAACAATTCTCGCATAGAAGTTGGCAAATTCTTCTAACAAGATTATCTGAAACTAAAATGAATTTTGAAAGCAAGTCCATATGGTAGGTCTAGACATGTTTTAAATGTAAAACGAACATGTGCCGTTCAACAGGAAATCAGAACACAACCATAAAATTAAACTAGCTTTAAGAACGAAATGCAATACAAATGGGAAATAGATAGTGGTGGCAATTCTCTCACACGACAAGATGTTCAACAAGGAAGAAACCGCAAAACAATCTGGGAGTGCACTTGTACAATATTATCCTCAGAGTGACCAAACTGCACCATGCAGCAAAGGGGGTATCTAAGTGAAGATGTTTTATAAAGCAAACATTTAGCTTACGCGAATGTAAACTATTACGATATCTAATACCAAATATACAAATAATAATAAAAATAATAAATACTAAAAAAAGACTGGTCATGAATAACCAATCAGTTGGATGAACAACTAAAAAGTGGGGCTACTAAAATTAAGTGCACAAACTAAAGTGGATGGATTGTTTCCTTCCAAAAAGAGAACCAATTTTGGGGAAAAAATGCTAACTGAAGTTTAAAACGAACCTGAGATTATTGTCATTGGATGAATATTTGTAGCTAGCAATCTTTCTGCTTCCCTCAAAAGCTCCCCGGCCAAAACAACTACTGAAGTCGTCCCATCTCCAACTTCATCATCTTGAACTTTTGAAATGCCTGAACCATGAATTAAGGATGACAAGTATATTGAACAACTAATCGTTTGAGCTCAACCAGCAGCATAATCAACATGTTTACATGTTAAAATTCACCTACTACACACCTACCACTACCACCTACTACACACTCACCTACTTCACCTACTCTCCACCTACTCCTCACCTACTTCCATATGGTAGGTCTAGACATGTTTTAAATGTAAAACGAACATGTGCCGTTCAACAGGAAATCAGAACACAACCATAAAATTAAACTAGCTTTAAGAACGAAATGCAATACAAATGGGAAATAGATAGTGGTGGCAATTCTCTCACACGACAAGATGTTCAACAAGGAAGAAACCGCAAAACAATCTGGGAGTGCACTTGTACAATATTATCCTCAGAGTGACCAAACTGCACCATGCAGCAAAGGGGGTATCTAAGTGAAGATGTTTTATAAAGCAAACATTTAGCTTACGCGAATGTAAACTATTACGATATCTAATACCAAATATACAAATAATAATAAAAATAATAAATACTAAAAAAAGACTGGTCATGAATAACCAATCAGTTGGATGAACAACTAAAAAGTGGGGCTACTAAAATTAAGTGCACAAACTAAAGTGGATGGATTGTTTCCTTCCAAAAAGAGAACAAATTTTGGGGAAAAAATGCTAACTGAAGTTTAAAACGAACCTGAGATTATTGTCATTGGATGAATATTTGTAGCTAGAAATCTTTCTGCTTCCCTCAAAAGCTCCCCGGCCAAAACAACTACTGAAGTCGTCCCATCTCCAACTTCATCATCTTGAACTTTTGAAATGCCTGAACCATGAATTAAGGATGACAAGTACATTGAACAACTAATCGTTTGAGCTCAACCAGCAGCATAATCAACATGTTTACATAAAGGCTAAGTTTGATATCATTTCTTAAGTATACATACGGCACTGAACATTAGTTTTAGAAATATACTCTACAAGCACATACAAGTTCCATGAGAAAATAAACAAGGATACCAACAAGGACTTTAGCAGCTGGGTTATCAATATGAAGGGACTTTAATATCAAAAAATATCAATCAATAATACAATTACATAAAGGCTAAGTTTGATATCATTTCTTAAGTATACATACGGCACTGAACATTAGTTTTAGAAATATACTCTACAAGCACATACAAGTTCCATGAGAAAATAAACAAGGATACCAACAAGGACTTTAGCAGCTGGGTTATCAATATGAAGGGACTTTAAGATTGTAGCACCATCATTTGTGGCAGTAACATTGTGTCCCCCGCCTGTTTATTGTAAAATTTTATCCTATAAAGAAATTGCATGTATGAGTAGCTGATTAAGTTGAAGAACAGGATTGAGACCAAATGCCAGAAAAGAAGTAACTTCTGATTTGGCAACAAACTGAGGCAAGAATAAAGTTACCATTCCCTTAGGTCCTAAGGTCGTCTTCACCAAGTCAGCAATTGCCATTGCACCGACAAAAGATGCCTAAAACAAAACGAGACTAATACTTATTCATTGGTACAAAAAAGAAAATTAGAATTTGATTTAAAGTTGCATAAGAAATGTAACTCTCACAGCCAGAAAATGTCACTACCAAAACAGATAGGGCAAAATGTAATCCAACAACTGTAACACTGCTACTGAACTGGCTTAGCAAAAAAACCAACAAATGTCTCACTTGTAAAACTGTCAGGATATGAGGGTCACAACAATATAGCCCAACAATATTGTTAACTGAACTAGCTTAGCTGTATGCTATAGTCTGTCCACATAATGATTGGTAAGAGTATCCATCCAAAATTCATACAGCAGCAAAGATGAATATCATATATATAAAATATATAAATAATTTAAAGAACACAAATATTCATCACTAAGCCTAGCAAACTCACCATTCTGGCTCGCTCAGTAGCTTCATCTTTAAAAAGCTTCTCAATCTAAAACAATGACCCAAGTAAAAACATAAGCAAAAGGAAAAGAAAGAAAGGAGCAGATTCTCATCATTCGATATGTCATTGCCAAACATACCGCCATTAAAAACAAATAAAACAGACATACTTTGAAACCCAAGTGCTACCACAACACAATCAATATCTGAAACAAAGAGAAGGAAACACAGGACGTTAAATCAAAAGGCAAGAGAACTTCGCAGATCAAATGCCAAATAATATGCATGCTTTCCCTAGTGAGCTCTAAATACAATAAAACAAAATAAACATGAATTCTGATGTCTTTATTTATTTTCATGGGACGGGAATAATAATAAATAAAAGAGCATAGACACGAGAGGCATAGCCGAAATGGCTGATTCAAGAGAGAAAAACAAAGTCTATGTAGTGGAGAAGCCCAAAATGATAAAATCAAATGAACATATATTTAAATATATACACAATTTTATTGTAAAATGTGTATGAGCTCTAATGAAATCAGTGCTGAAGCTTTACCTGATCCTAGCTCTGTGAGAGAGAGAGAGAGAGAGAGAGAGAGAGAGCTGTGAATCGAAGGAGACCGTCAATTGAGTTTGAGACTTGGATCCCGCCGAAAAGAGGAGAAGTTGGTTTCGAGTATCGACTGGAGCTTTCAACTTTTTAACCACTGAAAAATCAGTAAATTAGACTTTAGCCTTACATTCTTAATATAATTACATTTATCTCCCATTTAATAACATTGCTAAGTTTAATAATTAATTTTTTTTTTAAAGTACTCGTTCAAAATATGAAAGATAGGTAATTTTTGTCTCATCTATTAACCTATTTTTTATTTTTGGATTTGTTAAAAAATAAAATAATTAGTATAGGACAAAATTATAATTGTTTAACCTTTGAAGGCCACAAAAAAATAATGTGGTGCAAAGAAGGAATATGGCAATTGTTGCACACCAATTGGGATCCTCCACTCAGGGCTGTTTTGGCAATAGATTAAAATAATTAAAAAGCAAAATTATTACAAAAAAAATCATTTTTTTTTTTTACTTTTTGTATATTTTTTTTTTTGTAAAAATCAACTAATAAAAGTCAATTCTTAAAACCATCCTAAATTTCTCTGTTCATCCTTAAATATTCACTAACTAAATCACGCTTGAGATTCTTGTGCCTCACTATTCGCAACGAGTATTTACAAGGGGGTGCAACTCGGGCGGGTTTGCTCAAGTTGGAGGGTTGCCCAGGCCCAACCCGAATTGTGTTTAGCAATGCCCAAGCCCGCCCAAGCCCGACCATCAACCCGAGCTTCGCTACACAAGCCTAGACTAAGCTTCATAATCTGAACTCGGGTTAGCCCGAATTGCCCAAATTTCACAAGAAATATGATGATATTACAACACGAAGCCCTTTTCATCCTTTCATATTGACATGAGAAACTCAGAAAAAACTTAAGTTAAACATGATCTGTAAGATGCATACCTTAATTAAGCGTTGACTACCACAATCCAATAAGCAGTTAACTTCATCATTATTCGAACTTCCGCAAATGTAGCAGCAGAATACATCCAAATCTGAAATAGAGGACTGGCAATGGTGCATTTCAGTGGGTCTGAACTATAGCCCAAAATGATCAACATCTTCATGATTAAACTATTGCAATTCATGGATGAAGGCTAGGATAAACATTCTGCTATCAGTATACAAGCTAGACTAGTAAAATATTAATCAAGACACAAAGAGTATAACTGGATTGCTTACTTGGAATCCTTAAGATCCTTCCCTGGTTAAACTTCGTGGTCCTTGTTCCTCTCCTCGCCGTTCTTCAACTCTTTGAGGAAGAAATGAGAGTCTAACACAGAGGGAAGAAAAGAATAGGTAGGGTTTAGTCTTTACTTTTAATCTAATGGTCCAAATACAAGATTCTAATCTAAGGGCCAAAGCCCGGCAAAAAAATAAAATACAAGGGCCACCTATTTACACATATATTATATAATTTTTATAATATATATAAAATGCAACTCGGGCTCGGGTTGCTCAGGTTACACACAGCCTCTGCTCAGGCCTGGCCCAAATTGCAATTCGGGCATCAAAAATTTGCCCAGGCCCGCTCAGATTATAATATATTGTTGCACAAGCCCTAAAAAAACTCGGGCTGGGCACGGATTGCTCAAGTTGAGCCCGTCCAAGTTTCACCCCTTACAACCCAACACAATGAAGAAAATGCAAACAAGAACAGTTTGAATCTATCAGCATAAACCAAGTGAAGGCATGCCAGTTAATGAGAAACATTGAAGAAAATTTGGATCTACGGTCACAAATGCAAGAAACTCTTGATCACAAAGCAATATGTCCATCTCACTTTCATCCAAAGTTATCCACACCTCCATACCATCTCCCTCTCTTGTTTCCAACGTATGAACCAAATTATCCAACCCAACGATCCTGTGACCTCTAACCCACACATGTTTTCCCCACTCAAAATCAGTGTCATACATACCAAACTTGGACCAAGTGGTGAACCCAAAATAGTCCGCTGGACCTTCGGAGCACAACTTACACATCTCTTTCACACTCTTAGCAACCAAACACAACCCTTGACCACTCTGCAATCTTTCCACGAAATCGCCATAGATTTCTGTGATTGTTTCCCTCAGCTTTCGAATCGGTGAATGTAGCACTATCTCATTGTCCGCCTTGCATTTCGTGCATAGTATCCAAAGTAGATTCCCTATGGAGTATTCCTGCAATGGTGGCACCATTCGTCTCCGTAAATCCACAGCATGGGACAGTACAGATGGCCTCTGGAGACCACGATTTGCTTTCTGAGCAGACAACATTGCACATTTCCATACAAAGGCAGTCGCAACTTCAACCAGAGAGGGATTCGTCATGCCTGAGCCACTAGCTTTGCTCTTGAGTGTTGCCATTGCTGATGATTTGAATAGGACTCCCCTCATAACAGAATTCTCTGTTTTGACCATGGACCTTCCCAGGATAGCTAGGGAGTCCATCAGCAGTTGATCATTTGGTGGGAACAGAGTTGCTGCGTTATGTACAGTTTCGAAACACCCCCAAGCAAAAGCAGCCCAGCCTTTGAGAAATGCACTGGTTGATATACTGTCAAGAACTTTATGCAAAAGGCACATTCCGATAACAATTACAGAGCAATTGAACATATTGACCTGAATCATAGCCGGACGAACTCTTGCATATGACTCGATGTTGGCGGGATGGCACAGATAGAAATGATTCAACAAGTTGAGATCAGGGTCGCTGAGAAAGTCCAAGAGATGGCAATTCATCACTTGGGCTTCTGAGAAACCTAGTCGTTACATTCGATGGAAAGTTTGTCAGCCTAGATTCTTCGGGCAAAAGGGTAAAAGTGAGTCAAGGCTTTTGATAGTGATTGCTTCAACTGATTCAATGCATTGGCAACAATAGGGGTGTCTGTGAGATAGTAAAAGGCAACGTGGCTGAAGATGGTTGGATGGAGCTGATCCAGAAAGGAGAGCTTGTGAGTTCTCAAGTGGTGTGGTGGGAAGTTGGGGAAGACGGCTTGATAGTCTCTACTTCTGTTGCCATGATGTCATCTTTCCATCAAAACAAGGAATACTTCAAGGATCTGCAAATTCAATTTCTTTATGGAAACAGAGCATGAATCAAGGGTGGAAATTAATAGAACAAAAATTGAAACTGAAATTTGTTATTAATATAGAAGAATACATGTTTCAAGTGATAACTAGGCACATTAAACAGTTACACTTTTCAGTTTTCACACCCAATTAATGTATTTGTGATTCGGACCATAAGAGCCTACAATTACAAAGTACAGAGAGTACTCCACCATCTTAAAGTTCACCAAGCAGAAGTTATCCATAACAACATCCATCAGAAGTCTAATGTTCCACATTGTTTGCTCCCAATATTTTCAGTTCCGTTACTTTGTTTCATATCCTTTTTACGATCATTGTTGAGACCTCTACTTCGGCCAATGCCCAGCTTTGGCAAACCACGATTCAATCCCTCGAGCAAGACACAAGCTTTACACCATTTCTGCACAACAAAACAACATATAAAATGGGTATTCTGATGATCCAGTCGACATGCATACAGGTAAATGCATCGCTAACTCAACTCAGATTGCCCTTTACAGAGTGTCTAGAGTCCATGGATGTCCAAACTAATCTTTCATTCCCATCAAAATAATTGACGAAAGCAAAACATTTGTAAAACATAAATTCATGAGAAACAATTCTAACTTACCAGCAGTCAAGCAAGTATAAATACAATGAGAGGATCAAAAGCTCTGAATCATTTTCAGGCCTGATTATCACTCATATCTTAATATCCCATCTTATCAAATATCAAGGTAAGTAAAATTGCAATGATAACAATGACATCAATTATTATTGCCTCTGAATAAATAGGTCACAGGCAAGGATGATCAGCCATAGGCTTCATCTCCTGACAAGTCTCTACATCATAAGACTGCCACATCCTCTTTTAAACATGAGCTATTCCACAACAAAGAAAATTACAAGCATGGAAGCCACTGGGGACCATACATGTTTCTGAGATGAACCAAGCTTGCTGTTTTTCTAGCACAATTAGGCATACGAAAGAGCCCTGAAAATATTAAAATGGATGTCCATAATGTTGGCAAAGCAGATTCTACTTGACCATAATGACATCAATTGATTCATTTCATCAAGGCTGAATACTCTACTATGAACAAGGAGAATCTTTCCAGTGCAATCATAAATAGGATAAAGAAATGCTATATATCAAAAGCATTCAACCATCCTAATTGCTCAATAAATCAGTCTCAAGGGAATTACTCAATAATCATGAAGTTTGTCAATAGAAAAGAAAAGTATGAAATGGGGAAAACATGCCCAAATATAAAGTGAAGGGTACAACCTACAGTATCCATTCTAAATCTCACTGAACTGAAGAAAAAAAGGTACCTCAAGTTGGACAATTAAATTGAAGGGTATTTGGTAAAAAATAAAAAATAAAAAAGAGAAGCAAATCTTCAAGCAAACATTTCTTTGTCATGAATATATAGTATTACTAATACATTTCCTCCCCAAAACCAGGAAGTTAAAAGGTTCGAACTTTATTATTTGCTACGAAAGAAAGTGAAAATATTTGTCAAAAATGGATACAACTATAAAGGTATCAGTCATATGATTATTGTTATTATTTTGGTCTTGAATAGTATAAGGTCCCACCAAATATCGCCCAACCATCAAGTGTAAGTTTGAAATGCAGTTTCATTATTGTATATAATAAGCCTGTGAGCTGGTTGAATTCTACAATAACCATCTATTCACCAAAATCCGTGACTGTTCTAGGTTCAAGTCAAAACAAACTTGCCTGGCTAGAAATATAACCACAGCGTTCACAGATTCCCTGCTCTGGCATTTTTGTAGACGTGGAGATCCTGAAATCCTCACCTGATTTAATGATGTCAAGTATGGCTCTAGGTCTGCAGTAATGGACCATCAAGATGTTAAACCAAAAATACAAGTAGAACAATATTTTTATCTTAGCAGGCTGCTGAAAAAATTACAAAATAATAACCTGATCCTTTCTAAATCTTTGATGAACTCACGTGCAAAGCCACGATAAGCATTTGGGGAATAAATGCCTGTAATTTCAGCAGCAGACAAAATTTTAAATATAGCAATACAAACAAGGGACATTATTAAAAAATGTACAGCCATGGTACATAATGACAAAATATTGAAGCAAAAAAAAAAATCATCATCCCATCAAAGAACCAATTACGGAAAACAAAGAAAATTATAAAGGAAAAATCACCATCCAAAATAAATAAAATATCTCAAATGCCAGTATGAGGAGTCACAGAAGAAGGCATATGAAGGAAAATATGTACAGCAACACTTGAAAAGAGAAATATAGCATGTAGTGTTAGACGTGGTAATTCCATTTCCTCGGGAGAGCTTGGGAAGGAAACTGTGAGTAAATGTGGCCTCCTAGAAAATAAAAATGAGAAGGGGTTGAAAATTACATTCAGTGGAGAAGTAGTCCAGCCTCTTAAAATATGCATACGTGAACAGCTGGTTAAGGTTTGGCAACTAAAAGGAATCAATAAAAAATCAGATTAATATAAAAATGCCAACTTTAGGCACAAATCATCAACCCAATGGAAAGGATATATAACAATCTCCTTTTCATAGGTATACTTAAATGGCTTGCATCTTGGAATTGGTCCATCTTCTCCAGTGGTTATAGATGTGCATCGACTCAACCTACAACAGAAAAGCATAATCTCAGCTCACCAAATAAACAAAACTTAAAGAAAAAGAAACCTTAGATGAGATATTACCTAGCAATATCACCTCGTAATATGTTTAAAAGAACTGTTTCAGCAATATCATCTGCATTATGCCCAGTAGCTAGCTTGTCTACTTTCAGCAATGCGGCACCACGATCAAGGGCCTTGCAGAGAAAGCATTCCATCATTACAATCAAACTCAATGCATTTTTCATTACAAAAAATCAAGGTGAGAAAGTTGCCACCAGATGTGGTCGGGGGTAGAAGAAGTGTCCGCTTGCAACAAAAATCAGATGAAGAAAATAGCAAACTGAAAAATCAAGCAAGCTAATTTTTTTTTTTTTTAAGAAGCCTGAGTTGGATTCACTGCTGATAACACCTAAATGCTTGAAGTGGTAGACTATGAACCATTTAGAAATAAGGATAAAAAAAATGGGAGTGCTTGATCAAATACCCATATTCAATCCCTTAACACTTAAGTCCAGGTGCAGATTACTGCATCCAGAAACAAGGGCAGGAAAAAAGAGAAATTAAGTTCATCAATTTGAAAATGCATAACTGCTCTACCTGGCGACGGAAAACACCACAAAATGTGCAATTGTTCTTTAACCCAATAATCTTCACTATTTCGTCCATGGTCCATCCGTACAGTTCCTTGTAAGACACCACTTTTAGTGGTAGTCCATACTGAAAAAGGAAAAAAGGAAAAAAGGACACACATAAGCACACAGGACTCGTAGAATAAAAGACGCAAAAGATTAAAAACCATTTTATTAGCTAAAATAAAATAGAAGTGCTTAGAACAGCAAGAACAGAAATTAATGAGTCAGCAACAACAGTAAAGAAAAGATTGCAGGACAAAAAGAAAAATCAAAATGCTGTGCTTCAAGAAAATAAATTAATGAACCAATAGCAGAATAAGCAAAAACAACCCAACTTGTGCTGAACTAAAAAATCAGGAGATTTGCTCACCTGGACTTCATTTCTTTTGACAGTTTCAAGTGAATCATCCCTATACCCTGTGATGCCTTCATCAACTGACAAGAGAAATAGATCTACGCCATAATTATGCCGACGATTCAGCTCTGACAACACATAAGCAAGCACTGTGGAATCTGCACAGAGGGGAAGAACAATATGAAATGAGAGGGGGAAACAATCGTGTTCATGGCTTTTGCCTGCAATCAGTCAGATAGAGATGTGACTAAAAATGCAACAGCATGACCTAACACATGCACACACCGAAAAACAAAACCAAAAAAAAAAAAAAAATAGTGGATAACCTCAGATCCTGCAGTGAGAACCCACAGGAAGGTACCTCTTTCTACAAACTCTCTCTCCAAAAATCACACATCAGAAAGATGGCAACATAGCATTTAAATTTAGGGGTACTTACGTGTAGGTCCCAATAAGTGGACTTATTGTCTAATCTATGGGAAAAAAAATTCATAAAAAAAGTCACTAATTGTAAGTTTTAACGACAATTTATAAAAATCATGACAAAAAAAAGTCACTAATTGTCAATTTTTAACGACATAAATAAAAATTGTCACAAAAAATTTATTTTTAGCAACAATTTTACCAAGACTTATTTTCAATAGGACTTGATGGGAATTAAGTCCAACTATTAGGACTTATTAGTAGTTTACCCTTAAAATAATTTTTTTAATCTCTCATGCATGAAATGGGTGAGGAAACAAATGAAACTACACTTGCTTCTCTCTGTTTGTTATTCAATTACATCGACATCGAAACTGCAGTGTTTTTTTCTCAACTAGAAACATCTATATAATTATATCTATTCTATTATATTAAGTAGACAGCTAACTTTGGCGGTGTCAACTTTGTCACACGATTTTGATTCCCAAAAACCCACACAGCAACACTATTTTCCCCAAATATTTATCTTCGCCTAGCAGTTATGATTATAGCTGCACTACAAATTAAAATCAACTGTCCATGATCTCCGTATTGACAGTTTCAATTGCACAGTCTTCTAGTCATTTTCTATGTCTAGTTCAGTTGTCAAATCTACAAGACTATAAGTTCTCTAGTCAACATGATGCAGAAATATATAAGAAATTGCAATTCAAAAATACATGAAATACTTGGAAATCTAGAATCAGTAACAAAAAGTATTGGAATAATAAAAGATCAAAGAGGGAACGACTCGGAAGAAGAAGCAATAACCAACCTTTGCCACCAGAAGCGCCAATAGCAATGCGTTCCCCAGGCTTGAATAGCTGATTTTCCACAATTACACTGTGGATCTCATCCTCAAACACAGTGTAGAAACATTCCCTACAAATCTTTAAGGACACAAATTTTAACCCTACACAACAGATACAAATATGCATATATATATATATATATTAAAGAGTAAAACTTTGAGGAAAGGAAGAGAAGTGAGTGTACCTGTTCTAGGGTTTTGGGTCTTTTGAGGGCGGGCTTTCTTTGGTTGCAGAGGGAGCAGAGTTGACCGTTCTTCTTCGGCTTAACCACCACCTCGGCTTCGTCCATTTTTTGTTTTTTATTATTTAAATCGAAACACCAATTCAAGAAAAGAGACTACCAGGAATCAATAACCACGAAACCACACTGTATAAACCCTCCACAACTCTCTTCTTGATCGCGCCTCCTCCGCCTGTAAACTGTTTTGAATTTCGCTGGATACGACTCCACACTGTATATATCAACCCTCCACAACTCTCTTCTTGATCGCGCCTCCTCCGCCTGTAAACTGTTTTGAATTTCGCTGGATACGACTCCACACTGTATATATCAACCCTCCACAACTCTCTTTCTGTTTTTTTTCCGTTAAAATGAACTATAAATACACGTTTTATGTTTGCTTACAATACAGAATTATTATGTAATTCTATCCTTTAATTTGTAATTACATACTAAATAATTATTTTTATTAATAAATTATTAAATTAATTAATTATTTTTAATAATTTTCTAAATATATTTCAATTAACAATTCATATAATTTTAATGTCATTAAAGAGAATAGTTAGAAATTTTACTTTTTCTGTTAATTTTGTAAAATAAAACATTCTAAAGGGATATTTATAATTTTTTAAATTATAGAGGATAATATGTATTTGAAGAAAATCTGAAGAAATTTATTTATAATTTACATTCTGTTACTGAAACAAAAATAAAAAAATAAATTGATTGACTATTTTTTTTTAAACTAAAGATCTTACAAATTTTTAGTCTTCTAATTTAGAAGAACTTTAAAAAAATTAGAAATTTATTAAAGAAACAAAATAACAAAAAAATAATAATTGATTTAAAAACTTATTTGAATGTGGCTGGCTCTGTTTTGTGTTATTCTTATTGGAGTTACTTATAATTTATTTTTTAAATTTTAAGACTTTATGTAACAATATTTTGTATAATTTTCACTTATAACGAGATGGGAGTTTTTTTGATAAATCCATTTTCTAAGAGTTTTATTCCATCCAACCCATATTCTTTTTTACTATTCCATTAGGTCTAATTTGAGATAAGAATTTTATTTATTTATTTATTTTTTTTGAGAGAAGGTCCACTATGAATTATAAATTATTGGAATGAAATACAAATAGGATATTTCATTTGCAATATATATTTTTCATTAACTTTCTATGAACCTAACGCAAAAAAAATATATATATATTTTTATAGAATGATCATTAGGGTTGGCAATTTGAACCTGACTCGACGAGAACCCAGTCCCCAACTTTGATTAGCACAGATTTTCACCAAAAAATACCCTCGGTAGGCCGGGGATGGTATTAGAAAATCAATCCCTGACAATTTTCGAGTTGGGGACGGTGATACGTCCCCTAACCCCGAACCCGACCACGTCCTTGTTTCCTCCCGAAGTAAAATTACTACCATACCCCTCTCCTTACACATCGCCTCTCTCTACTCTACTTACACGACTGCTACTCCCTCACCGGCCGCTCCCTTCTCCCTCACCAGCGTCTGTCTTCTCCTTCACCGGCTATCCCTCTCTCAAACTGTGTACGAAGACAAACCAAAGTTCATTTTGATTTTCACCCCCCAATCGACTCTCTCTGGTATGATTTGCCTCTCTTGTTTATTAACTCTTTGATTTGCCTCTCCTTCTCACCATTTTCAACTCACCGATTTATGTTATTCTCTAAATCTTTCATCTTTGTTGGTAAAACCGTAGCTCTTGATTTTATTTTTATTTTTTTAAATGGAATAGATTTTATATGGTTTGATCAATTTTGACTCTTATCTAAATATTTGAATTCTACTTTGCTTCAAGGTTAGGTTATGTAACAACTCTGACCCATGATTAACGTTAATCCATGATTTCATATGCCTAATAAGTAATTAAGATCAAATTCTTAATTAATTACATGTGTGTTGCATTATTTGTGTTTATATCTATTTAACGTAGGAAAATCTGTTCATGTTTCTGTTTTGATTTGCAATTGAAGGTCTTATCGGCATCCGATTCAAAAATTGACTTGGTTTTTGTGTTAATTGGAATTTTTGGAATTTTATAGTAGGTTTAATTGAAATTTGATTCGGAACGATTAAATTGGATTAATTTAATGCCACTTAATTAGCCTTAATTAACTATCATTAAGTAAGCCTATATAAGGCTTCTTATGTGCTCTCACTCACTCTTTCCTTTATTCTAACATATTTTGAGCTCTCTCTCACACACACAACGTGTAGAGAGAGAGAGAGAGAGAGAAACTAAGGAGAAGTCTTCAACAAGGAATTTGCTAGGACATTTGGAGAATTACTTAAGATTTTGACTAATTGAAGCTCAATTGGGTAGCCTAGGTAAGAGCTCAACCTTGCAACCTTAGAATTGAATCATTTGGCACATGAATACAAGTAAAATAGGTGAATTCATATGGGAATTGAGTTAGAGTTGAAGAAAGTTAAGTCATTCCATACATGCATGCATGTTTCCTAGCATTTTAAATTTGTATTCAAAGCTTTTCTCATATGCATGTTGTAATTCTAGCATGGTTTGTAGAGTTTATAACATTTCTCACCATTGGACCTTATTTGATTATGTTTTGGAAGCTGAGAACTCAAGTGAATATATGCATGACAAAGTTCATATCATGTTCTTGCATTTCAAATTGAATTTTTGCATGTTTGACATACTTTTGGGCCTTGATTTCATGAAATGATCTTCAAATCATAAAATTTTACGTTTTCTAGAATTTTGGCCCAAGAAGATGAGTTTTAAGATGTGGAATTCGAGTTTTGAGCAAAGACGAGCAGTCTGGAAATTCCAAAATTTTGCTCTCCGCTCGAGCGTGAGATTCTGCGCTAGAGTGTCCACCTTTGTTTTTGCATCTCTGCTCGAGCGACCAAAAGTTTGCTCGAGAGTAAATTACATGCTCCCAGAAGTTACATGCTTTGGCAGACCGCTTGAGCAACAAGAGTTGCGCTAAAGTGGGGGAATGAGTCTCACGTTCGAGCGACCATCGAGTGTTCATCGAGCGTGAAAATCACATAACCAGTACTTTTTCAAAATTTTCAGAACGCTCGAGCGGAGGAAGTTGTGCTTGAGCATCCCCTCACATTTTTTATGCCCGCTCGAGCGTGGACCCTATTTTCAAAAAAATTGACCAAATGCTTTCAAATGCATTTTTTTTGTATCATCATTCCATCCTAGGCATTTCTAGGCCAAGATTAAGGCATAATAATGAGGGTAACATGTAGAAACACACTATGAATCGAACGTAAATAGTTAAGTATGTTCCAACGTGTGTTTCAAATGTATATTTGTTATGTGTTGATGTAGGTCACGTGCCGTAAATCGTTTGGTTAGTCTGCTCTGTTTGTCTGCACCCGAAGCCAACTGTGAGTAATAACTTAGTAAAACTATGTTCAACCTTATTTACTTTCTGTATGATAAAATAAGATCTGTTTTCTGAAATGATATGTTCTGTACAATGAATGATAGTCTAATTTCTAATAATGTAATCGTGGCATCCTTAGCATCATGTGATATCTGTTAGCTGTTACCCGGTATCGGAGGTTCCATCATGGAACTTAATATTTCTACCATTTGTTACCTGTACCGGAGGCTCCATCATGGGGCTCAGTATGTTTATTCTCTATTACCCGGATCCGGAGGTTCCTTTATAGAATTGGTTACTCATGACCACCATATGTTCTGCATCTGTTCTGTATCTACTCTATCAGTGCTAATGGATGTACCATATATAATTAAGCATGAACTCTAATTTATGTATATAATTTGAACAAGATTATGAATATGGATTTGCTTCTCTTTCTGAAATAAATATGAATCTGTTATTGAATATGAATTATGATTTGTGAACCTGGTATGTACTTCATTCATTAAATCCTTTACTCCGTTATTATTCACTAAGCTTCTGTTCACTATTTATATTATGTATGCAGATGATCAGGCACATAACCAGGCTCAGAGTTGAGGACTTAGCGCCTCAGTTTTTGTCAGCCAACCTTTGTGCCTCCCGAGGAGGTTCTGGATTAAGTAAAGTTTAGTGGCTGTTTTTGTGAATGTACTAGACTTTGTTTCTTTTGATTTACGGGCAAGATTTCTGATAATACGTTCATGGAGTGATGTGCAAATACTGTATATTTTGACATCACTCGCAAGTTTATAAAAGTTTTAAATTATCTGTCCCATGTATGTCTTCACAACTCAATGGACTACGTATATTTTGTATATTTGTTTCCGCAGCCCCTAACTATATATTATTCTGTTAAGAGGTCTTTGGTAATCGAAGGATTACTGGCCGGTTACGACGCTAAACCTATAGAGACGGGTTTGGGTCATGACAGTATGGTATCAGAGCACGTGTTCTACCACACACACAAGTCCATATGAGCTTAGGATGTCCTAGTAAGAAGTAGGGACATTCCATCTGCATGCGTGAGTATGTGGTAAACTTTAAAAATGTAAAAACTGAATTTGAAATCTGGACAACTAAATTAAAAGAAATGAACAAGATTATTCCCATGTTTATTATTATTTGTTGTCTCTATAGCAACATGGAGAGTGCAAGGGGAACTGATACAAGTGAATCCTCAGAGGCTCACATAAGCCGAATGGAACAGATGCTTGCAGCATTGATCGAAGCTATGACACAACAGTAGAGACAACAACCTTTGCCCCTTCCGCTTCTACCGGTACAAGTTGAACCTAATAATAATAACATTATGAACCTGACACAGAAATTCATGAAGATGAAACTGCCAACTTTTTTGAGTGGGATTGAACCATTGAAAGCGGAACCATGGTTTCTTGAGATGGAAAAGTTGTTTGAAGTTTTTCCCTGTACCGAGACTCAAAAGGTTTTATTGGCCACCTATACTCTTAAAGACGAAGCTTGGAGGTGGTGGTTACTGATTCGGAATACCAATGAAAACATGACATGGGCTCGATTCAATGAAATCTTTTATGAAAAGTACTTCCCTCATTATTTTTTGGACCGAAAAATGTCTGAATTCCAAGAACTTAAGCAAGGCAGAATGTCTGTAGCTGAGTACTAGGCTAAGTTCACTAAGTTAGCTAGATTTGCTCCTCACATGGTAGACACAGACTATAAGAAAGCCCGCAAATTTGAAGGAGGATTGGACTCAGACATATTTGATCAAGTAGGCGTATTAAAGTTGCCAACATATGTGCAAGTTCTTGACAGATCCTTAATGGCAGAAGCCACCCTAGCCGCTATGAGACAAAATAAGGCCCCAACAACAACAACAACTGAATGGAGAGGAAAAAGGTCTGGGTATGGTTTTAGAAAAGGCCGTTCTCATATAAGTAAA